CACTGGCTTCTCAAAGAAGCTAATAAGTTTCAAAATTGGCAACCCATCCCACACGTCACATTGCCTTTTAAAAGCCACACAAACATATTTGTTCAATTTGAGTGACAAAGTCAAAAGAATTTTCCACATAAAAGAATTGATTTGTCTTTTATGTGGAAAATTCTTTTGACTTTGTCACTCAGATTTTTCTTTGCCTACAAATCAATTCTTTTCTGTGGAAAATTCTTTTGACTTTGTCACTCAAATTGAACAAATATGTTTGTGTGGCTTTTAAAAGGCAATGTGACGTGTGGGATGGGCTGCCAATTTTGAAACTTATTAGCTTCTTTGAGAAGCCAGTGTAGCGTTTATACGTGTGGGGAACACTCGGCGGATTTGTCCATCAGAGAAGACAAAATAATGGTGTCATTCGGACAGACTTGCGCAATTGATCCGGCAACGAGTCTTTCAGTCATTTGCCAAGTTGGTCCCTTCAGCCTCGTTTGTTTCGAAAGATTGTCTTGGCATGAACTATGCTTAGAAATTGTCTTGGCTTGAATTGGCTTAAGTTGAATAACACTTATCCGGTGTTTGGTGATGCTTGGATTGGGACTAAGTTTAAATTGACTAATATCAATAAAAAGGATGATATATTTCAACTTCTGTTCTTCTATACAAACGTGGGTTAAAAATATTCCAAATTTTTATTTAATAAGGTTTATTTTTTAGGTTTATACGAGTTTTAAATTTGAGGGTATTTGTGTCTATTTAGGTGAGTTTTTTGATATATTTGAAATATTTTACAAAAAATGACATTTTTGAAATTAAGGATCAAGTTTTGGCTATTTTTGATAAATTCTTGATAAATATCAATCAACCGACCAAAAACATGACAAAACATTAGTTGAGGCTTGCACGCTGTCAAGGTCTTGTACCTGCTGATGTAAATGCTTGTACCAAGTGTTTTGCTATTTTTTATGGGTGGTGATTTTCCCACTCTCTTTTTATCTACCTACACTCTCTTTTGTTTTTTTAATACTTTTTACTATAAGATAAAAGGGAGTATAAGTGAACAAAAGATGAGTGAGAACATACAATTTAAAAAAAAATGAAGTGTAAGTGGATGAAAGGGGAGTGGGAAAATTAGTACCCTTATTTATTTATTTTACGTTTCTCACCTCGTACTGTTTCTAATAATTCCAAATCCAAATGGTGTGCTTCTCATTATAGAATGATAATTTCTAGTCCTAGTTATTTGATCTAGTGGCATTCAATCTTTAAAAGTGATTTTTAACCACCAAAAACACTTACGATGAAATTCAATACCAAAATTTTAAAATGCCTATCGATAAGAAAAGTATTTCTCTAGTAGCGTCTTCAAAAGCATTTATTTTTTGGCTTTTGCTAAGAAAAACGCTTACAATAAAAGTGTTTATGAGTGCTTCTTGTAAAAAGTAGTCATATTTTTCACTTCCCACACCAAAAATCTTATCCGAAAATATTGTCAAAATTAATTATTTAAGTAAATAAATTTGTGAAAAAAACAAAAAAATGAATAGTATTTGCCCTAAACTAGGGCAACTGCTGGAAACCAACATTGCTTTTTGCAAGGGCAGCCACTATTCACGTGAATAGTGGCTGCCCTAGCCTCCCCCCTTGCCATGGCAAGGGGCAACTGCTGGAAATGCTCTAAATGCTCTTAACCACTTGAGCTACAAGCCACTTCCGCAAAGGTGCAATTTGATCAATGATATAATGGATTAATTGAGAAAAGTGCAGATCATTAAAAATAAATAACAACAAGCCAATAGGGAAACAAAAAATTAACAAATTAATATGCATGAACAGTCAAAGAAATTAAATCATAAAATAAAATTTTTTCTTAGATATATAATATGTAATTCAATTACAACAACTTTCATCCAACAGGATCTCTTATTAGAATGATGAACTTTAAAGGAACATCAAGAATATTTCATCCATCAGTAGGCACTTCAAATCGGCAAACAGGACAATAGTGGCTTTGTTTGAGCCATGTCACTATGCACTTTTCATGAAACAAATGTGAGCAAGGCATGCAAGCGATTTCTGATCCTCCATTAAACTCTTCCATGCAAACAGTGCAACTATCACTTTCACTTGCACAAATTTGCCTTCTTTTTCTCTCTCGACGCCCCTCTTCCTCATCATCCTCCTCCTCCTCGTCCCCAACACCCACTCTAACCCTCTTTAGAACCTTCTCAATTGCTGAATCGCTCGCCGGGACCATGCCCTCGTTAATACCATTGCTCATTAATATTCTTTCTATTAGTTGCATGCACGGCTCATAACGATGCTTGAGGTGCATTTTTTTCATGTGAACGCACAACCCCAATACCTTATTCTTAGATATATAATATGTAATTCAATTACAACAACTTTCATCCAACAGGATCTCTTATTAGAATGATGAACTTTAAAGGAACATCAAGAATATTTCATCCATCAGTAGGCACTTCAAATCGGCAAACAGGACAATAGTGGCTTTGTTTGAGCCATGTCACTATGCACTTTTCATGAAACAAATGTGAGCAAGGCATGCAAGCGATTTCTGATCCTCCATTAAACTCTTCCATGCAAACAGTGCAACTATCACTTTCACTTGCACAAATTTGCCTTCTTTTTCTCTCTCGACGCCCCTCTTCCTCATCATCCTCCTCCTCCTCATCCCCATCACCCACTCTAACCCTCTTTAAAACCTTCTCAATCGCTGAATCGCTCGCCGGGACCATGCCCTCGTTAATACCATTGCTCATTAATATTCTTTCTATTAGTTGCATACACGGCTCATAACGATGCTTGAGGTGCACTTTTTTCATGTGAACGCACAACCCCAATACCTTACGACCCATGTTGCTAACCCTATTGCCAATTATGAGACCCTGTTCCATAATCTGCTCCACAATATGTCTACTAAACGCATCCCTTCTATTGATTCCAACTACCTCCAGCATGCTACAAAGAATCAAGTGCGCCTCGCGGTAATTCTTTAACATGTCCATGTCGAATCAGCGGTTTGCTGCCTTTGTTTCGCAAATTCTATGACGGTGGTTTCAGTGTTTAAGAATGATTGACGCATTTGTAATGGGATTGATGCACAAGCTTAACATGAAACTGAACCGGCTGTACTGATGAACGGCTCTGATTATGAACATGATTAGGGTTGTCTAATTTTGCGGTAATGTCTTGGATGCGAAAGCCAAAGCGTTGTTGGTCGTGATGGATGGCAGGGAAGTCTCCCATGGAAGTTAGTCAAGGCTGGAAACTCAATTTCAGAATTGCTTTGGTTATTCTGAAGAAGTAATATATAGCGTCGATATAGTTCTAACAAACAAACACATATATTTATATAGGGATGGTGGGTTTCCATATTGGTTTAGGATTGAATAACGAATGATCAACTGAGAGTTGATTTTCTTGGTTGAAAAGTTTCCCTTAATTTCTTAATAACTAAGTAGGAAAAAATTGTACAGGCCAATTACTTGTTACTCTTTTTGTTTTCGAGAAAAATTGTTCGTTACTCTTTTTTTGGGTTTAAATACCTTTTTGGTTATTGAGTTTTACACAAAATTTCAATTTAGTCATTGAATTTTTTTTAGCCAAATTAGTCATTGTATTATTTAAAGTTTACAATTTATAGACATGTCTTTAGTTTTCCATTAACTGGCTGGGTTAAATACTCTTTTGGTCATTGATTTATGCATAAAATTTCAATTTGATCACTGAGAAGAAAAACAATTAGTTAAAAGCCATGCAAATCATATACTCTTACACAAGCAAACTGTAAGCTAAAAATTTATAGTAGGAGTATCATCAATTAAGACTAAAAATATGCTTTAATTAATTCATGATAACGAGTTTTAACAATCCCCCTCAAACAGTCAAAGTATACGACATAAAAACAATAGCAAAGAGATATATTCCAGGTCAAGATAATACAATCAAAGTATTTAACTTTTTTTTATTGCTTTCTAACATTTGTGATATTGGGGAGGGAGGAATCAAACTTAGGACCTCGAATATAGGGATAAATACAACCAACTTACTTGTTACTTTTTAATAAGGGATCTGATTTCTCCACTCCCATTTTCTTCACTTACACTCCTTTTTTTTATATAATCAATTTTGTTCTTTCTCTTTCCTATTCTATCCTTACCCTACATTAATTTCTTTTTTACTTCACTTTTATATTATTTCTTTTTCTTTATTCTTAATTTTCCAACTTACACTCCATTTTCAATATTAAAGGGGAAAAAAATTTAATTTCTTACTCAATTAAAGGAAAAAAAAATACTGAAAATGGAGCGCAAGTTGGAAAATTAAGTATAAAGAATAAAAAAGAAATTAATGTAGGGTAAGGATAGAATAGGAAAGAGAAAGAACAAAATTGATTAAAAAGTATTAAAAAGCAAAACGGAGTGTAAGTGGAGAAAAGGGGAGTGGGGAAATCAACTCCCTTTAATAATGATAAGATAATTTTATAAGAGTGCTGCTATTTCCACCTCCTATCCTATTTCCCCACCCACTTCATTTTCAAAATTTTAAAAACAAATTTACCCTTTTATAAAAATGACTTCTAAGGACTTGGAAAAAACCTACATATTCATTTTAGAAAAATAATAAATAAGTAGAGAAAAAAAAGAAAGAAAGCCCCCATTAAAAAAGTCAACTCTTTCTCTCTCTCTCTCCTGCCTACCCTTTCTTCTCTCTCTCTCTCTCTCTCTCTCTCTCCCTGAACAAAACCCATTTATTACTGACTTCCCTCATCCCCTCCTCTGTTTGAGATGCTAATTGCGCCGAGAGCTATGAACAATCAAATTTAACACTTTCAAGCACTCCAATCAACAAAACTCAATTCATTCTGTTGATGCTCTTTTTGGGGAGGATCAACTTCGGTAGGGAAGTCTTGGGTCTTCAGTAAGGGAGAAGGTGCAGACTTTCGACAACTGAGGAACCTGCAGAAGACAATGGGAAGAAGCAGTCGTCAAGCTTCGGACATCGGTGTGGTGCCTGCTGAAGGCTCTCCGATGCTTAAGTCAACTATTTGTGGTAATTTTGACAGAGTAATAGTAAAGGTGGGAAAATAGTTACCCTTTTTACTTGGGCACTGTTCCCTATTTATAGGGAAGTGAAAATGGAAGTTTCGCACAAAGTTTCAATGTGGGACTTTGTGCAAACTGTTGTGGAGGTGACACGTGTCATAGCTCTAGGTTCTGTAGTTGGGAGCTTCGGCAGGTGTTTTACCGCTTCCGAAGGGGGGGGCCTTCCATCGGTAGGCCAAGAAGGAGATGGTATCATTTGTCTTTTAAGTGCTTGCTTGTGTGTTTTTAGCGTATCTCCCTTGCTGAGTGCCGGTCGCTTGATGCCGAATACACTTGGTTGATTGTGGTACAAACACATTCCTTCACTTATTTTCTCATTTCGAATGGGAAACAGTGTCATAAAAGTTGGCTGTTGTTTCTGCACCGTTGGAGAAATCTCCCAGCGACACGACAACTCCGTCGGCGTATTGGATCCACTCGACCAAGGCTTGGGCCATTCGTTTCAGAGGTCAATTGTGTGATAGAAATGACAAAATCCACGAGTAAAACAACCGCAATTTATCAAATCACTAAGGAAAAAAAACAGCCAATTATGACATACATATTCTAACACCCTTCAGCTTCAGAAGTCTTACTCAATACTCCATGGGTAACAATAAGCCATGACTGAGGATTAAAGGGAGGTCAATCATGGGGGATGGGGAGGATTGAAGCTTGTTGTTTGAAGGTAAGCCAATTGTAAGTTATGCAAGTCAATTTCAGTAGAACATAGACCACTGGCTTGCTATTGATGTTGACTAGCCCGGAGGAAATTAAATTAAGCAATCTGTGCTAATTACTTTTGTTTTTCTTTTGGAGCCTTTATGATAAGAATTTAGGGAAATAGCTTTAAATGCCACTCTTTTTATAATTTCAACTAAAAATACCACCCTCCCAAAAAAATTTGCAAATATCACCTATAAATACATACTTATTGCCCACTTATCGCCCAAATAACACTTTTGGTCAGTTTTTGGTTTCTCTTTCAGCTCTCTCTCTCTCTCTCATAGTTCTCTCTCTCTCTCTCTCTCTCTCTCTCTCTCCATCTAGCTAACTATGCATCTTCTCACGAAGAAGAAGATCAAGAACAACCTACAAAACCCACAACTTTGCCCTCAAAACTCAGTTCTTCCTCTTCCTCTCTGTTTTCTTCTCAACCCAAATCCAAACCCCAACTTCGTCTCCCTTCGAATACTTTCCGCAACCTAAACAAACCCAAACAAAACCATCTTTTCTGAATATGACAGCATGTCTTGGCATTAGGTGGCCATTGTTTGAGCATTTTGGTCCAATTTTGGGGGGTTTTGAAGTCTGGGTTTACATGCCCTCTTCAAGAACAGCTCTCCAGAAAATGAATTTTTGGGAATATGTAAGTTTTGATGTTAAATTGAATTTGATTACTGAAATTGGAATTGTGATTGATTTCGTCTGTATTTTGCATAGAAAGTGAAGTATTGGGATTGATTTTGTTTGTCTGAAACAACAAATGTGTTTGTTCTTTGTCGATTGATTCTTGCATTTGGTATTGGAATTTTCTATGAACTTATGATTATATTGTAGTGAGGTAGCATCGTTGATTTGCTATTGCAATTGTATTGTGATTTTATTGCGATTGTATTGTAGTCGTATTGCTTTTGTATTGCTATGGTATTGCTGTTATATTGATTTTTGTTGTTGGTGTTTTATTGATATGTTACTGTAATTTAATAAGAATATATGTTGATATCATTTTTCTTTATCTGCTTGTGATTTGTGTAGGAGTTGAGATTATTCTTGGCTGAAGTATTATTTACGATCTCTCTCTCTCTCTCTGCTTTTCGTATTTTTCTCAATATTTGTGTGTTAATTTAATGCCTGGTATTATTTTGGAACCATAATCATTGTCAATCTCATTGTTTCTTTAAAAGATTGTTGTGAAATTATTACTCCATTTTCTTCTTTTCTTTGTTTTAAGATATTTTTGTTTGGAGAAAAAGAACTCTATTTTTGTAATCTAAAAGACTAGGTACTCTTGGTGAGTGTTTTCTGATCAGCAAGATCCAGACTTTATGTGTGTCAGTTTACTACTTTTGCACTTAAACTTTGGCTGTCTAAAATTTGAAAAGTCTTGTATGCCAACAGTGTATCTATGTCTCACATCTTGGGTAAGAGGTATTCTTCAATTGTGAAAGTTGGCTCTGTTGTATGTATTCTGTGAGGGTCTTTTTGTTCCAGCAGCCTAACGAATGGGCTGGGCTGCCGTAAGGAGCGAAAAATGGGTGAAATTACCCCCTGTGTCTGAGTTCAAAGAGCAAGCCCCACGAATGCTCGAAAGGACAGTGAAGCCTTAGGAAACACCTCGGTTACCTTCACCAACAAAAGCAACGTTTGTTTACAGGTAGATTCTTAGCTTGGCATGAGAAGCTTGTGGCATGGGAGCAAAACCGTCATGAGTTTAGCATAAACAGAGAGAGAGCTGTGAGTTCCTATGATAAACAGGGGTTCTAAGGAAAGGGAAGTGATTCTAAGAAGGTTGGCTAAGGGGGGAGAGAGATGAGGAGGAAGTGGTTCGAGTAATTTCCAGCAGCTTGACGAAAAGTCTGTCAAGATCTGGAATAGCTTGCCAGAAGAGAAAATTGGAGGAGATGGAGGAATATGGCTCGAAATTGAAGGGTTCCAGAGGTGAGAGATGATGCTTGATCTCTGGGTCTGGTTTGCTTGCCTTGGCTGGGCTGCCGTAAGGAGCGAAAATGGGTGAAATTACCCCCTGTGTCTGAGTTCAAAGATCAAGCCCCAAGAATGCTTCGAAAGGACAATGAAGCCTTAGGAAACACCTTGGTTACCTTCACCAACAAAAACAACGTCTGTTTACAGGTAGATTCTTAGCTTGGCATGAGAAGCTTGTGGCATGGGAGCAAAACCGTCATGAGTTTAGCATAAAC